CTAAGGGCTTCGGGGCTACGGGGCTAAGTTGACAACAAAGAACCGGCATGATATTGCACGAGCTGCATCTGCAGTGGATCACTTTGATATACACAAATAGTTTTGATTGCGTCAATTCTCGGTGCCCGGGTAGGTTCCATCCCACTAAGCCCCTCCAGGATTCCGGACCCACTCGATCACGAGCCCATCACGCTGCCCGGGAAATAGAACCAGCATGTCCGAGACATTCAATACGTGCGTGATGCCACGCGGGTTATCCTGGCAGCACAAGGAACACAGCCACCGCAGAACTTCATAAGCTGCAGCCTCCACCCATTTACGCACACGCACACCGCGCCACGCACATTCACGCACGGAAACACAAGCAAAGCAAAACATGCGCGCTCCCCCTCCCTCCCTCCCTCCCTCCCTCCCTCCCCCTCCCTCCCTGCCTGCCTGCCTGCCTGCCTGCCTCCGTCTGTCCGTCCGTCCGTCCGTCCGTCCGTCTCTATCTCTGTCTCTGTCCATGTCTGTCTGTTTGTCCCTGTCTTTATCTTTGTCTTGTCTCTGCCTGTGTGTGTGTGTCTCTCTCTCTCTCCCCTCTCGTGTATTTAGGCTGCGCCCGTTCACCCGAACTGCTCTTTGAAAACTCTTCCTCTTAACACCAATGATGACCGGCGGTTCAAATATCAACACTCACATACAACCACACACACACAAGCGCTCACACCCACACGCACACGCACACCCACACGCACATTCACACGCACACACGCACACACGCAACACACACACACACAGAACACTTACCTACAGCACACAAACACACCCACACACACACCGACACACGCACCTCCGGACGAACAATGCATCACGTGTGGTGTTCTCCTGCGAGATTGCTTCCAACGATGCAAAACAAACAAACATATCAATGCAGTGGATTGCCCAAGCATTGGCAATGCTACCTGGCACAAGCAGTGAAGAAAAGGCACCCTCCTTGAAATCCTCACCCCGGGATGCCTAAGGCGAACAGGCCGGCTCGATGTATGTCGTCACTCCACCAAAAGAAAACTCAGAAAGGATTTGGCAACCAAAAGATGATGCGCAAGGCAAAGACTGGAACTGCAAGGGCCTCGGTCGAGCCTTCAGGAGGTTTCTGGCATCCTCCGCACTGCCCAAGAAGAGGTTCGAAGAAATTTCCTGAGATCCAGCGCCCTGATCCCCTCCCCAAACGTTTGGGAGATAGCAAGAAGAGACAAACTATATGTTTATCTAATGTCGCCCTAGTGGACACGTTTTACATGGGGATTTATGCAACCACCAACTACTTGAGGAGCTCTACAGGAGTTGAACAAATCCACCATTTGTTAAATTACTCGTCCTGGTTTGAAACGGAATCACTGACCTGTCTTCGACGGTGTTGGCACTTCTCGCAGTGCTGCGCTTGCACCTCTGCAACTTCTGCAACGCTTCCACCTGAAGTAAGACCGCTAGGTAGAGGACGTGCAGGGCGCGCGCGTTTTAGCCCCAGCTCGCCACACAACGGGCAAATCCGTGAAGTTGCGATAACTAAATACTATAATTGAATCGTGGCATGGTGGCAATGCTTGTCGCAAAATGAGCCAACTGTGCCAGGGCATCAAGCAAATTGTATGGTGCGCGCAACGAATTGCTGACTCAAGTAGGCTGTCCGAAGCAGGGCCTACTGCTTGACTGCCTGGTTGTGCTACCAGGTGTTTCCCTGTAAAGGCTGCTAACACATGAGCTACCGTCAAAACACTTGTCTTCGTCCAGGAGGTTTTTATGTAGTTTTCGTTTTGGTGGGGGCCCTATCGTTTTACAGCATTTTTGCGCATGTCTCGCGCTACGCTGGTTTTTGGGCATCCAACACGCCAAGTGGAGCGTTCTGCGAGACAATGGCGGCACGTTTGTTGTGCAAGTCCAGTAAGCGAAGCCCATTTCCGCACCTCCAGCTCAGACATCGCGATTTTGTAGCACAAGTCTAGCACGCTAGTGGTCCAGGTCGAAAATCGCGACCTTGCATGTAGCACAAGTCTACTTAGTACGCGAAGTACACTCCCGCAGCTCCAGCTCGAAAATCGCAACTTTGTAGTTCAAGTCTGGTGTGCGAAGTTCACTTTGGGTTGACCTCCTTTTAAACTCAACAAGGGAGACGTTTCATTTGTTAAAGCGGGGTTGGTTGCAGCATAAATTTGCAGAAAGCCTCGCGAAACGATAGGGCCCCCACCAAACAACATAACATGGTTTGTGATAAACGTTTGCCGCGCTGGCGCATTTCTGGTCAAGACAGCAGTAGGTAGCAGGAAAGTGGAAGCAAGTGTACTTCGCGTTCTAGACTTGTACTAACAAAACCAAAAGCTGCAATATGATATTGCCCAAGAGGACATGGACTAATTAAAAATAGTAAGTCCCCGACCATGTTTGTCGGGAAATTTAGTAAGCCTCCCGTGTTGCCAAATTGAACGTAGACAACCCTAGCCGTTTTGACCGAACAAATGCAGCCAAGGTGCGGATATCCCGAGGTTCTTGATCCGATTCAGGCTGGCAGCCTGATCAGGGTATGGGGTGGCTTCCGATGCATATTTGGGGTTTGGTTGAAAGGGAAACCACAAACGAACACAAGCATCACTGGCATTTCTTTTGATATTGTGCACCCATAGGAACTTATGACCAGAATGCATGCAATTTACACCTCTCATCGCCGTGAACTGAAGGTGTGGGAGTTGAGAGGTGCGCAGCGGCTGACTTCAATGACAGGTTCCGGTGGAGACCAAAAATGGATACTCCCACTCCATGCATGATGCTTTTACAACATTCATCCTCCAGATGGGTCAACATGGCTTGTGTGGGATAGAAATAGCTCGCATTGTTCTGGTATTGAGCCACTGTCAGCATTCCAGAAAAGGACGCGGGAAAATGGGCTACGTCACCAGGTGCTTGCGTACCCGATTGACCAAGCACTACTCATATGTTGACCGACACGCGCGTGTAAGATGTGCAAGTGTGAAGCGGCACAAAGTTGTGACACACCGGTTTACTCCAATCTGCATCAATGTATCAAACCAAATGTTGATCTGATTACGCTGGACATTTGGCGTTGGGCATGGACTCAAGAAGCCATCAATCTGAGCAAAGTACAACATATCGTACAAGAAACACCCTTCTATTGTGGATGGGCAAAACCCAGAACCAGTTGCAATGGATGAAACCCTGAATACTGGGATACACCACCCAGCAACTCGTGCAGGGTCCCGAGACACCGTTCAATGTGAACCGCCAGCGTGTAAGCTTTGGCTCTGCCTTCTGAGCATGTAGCTGGAGAGGAATAGACCCTGCCCATTCCAACATCTCGCTCTGAGGTTGTCTCCCACTACAAAACCCCCCCCACCAAAAAGGGAGAAAACAACAAAATGTGTTTACACAGTGGCTTCCCAAGCCACCCAACAAAAGAGGGCACCTGGACCGGACCCTCAAACCATCCTTCAAAATGGGACATCGCCGCATGTGTTTGGGTGAAGAACCCACTTTGTTTCAGGTAATTTGAGGGTCCAGGGGCCCTGCATGTTGCGAGTAACGCTAAAAAGAAACCGCCATGCTGCAAGTAACGCAAACAAAAAACAAAAAACAAACAAACGCCTGACACCGCCCATTCTTTCGGGGTCATTTCGGGGACCTCGAGCCCATGGCCGGGCCGGCCTCCATCTTCGCCTGGCGGCCGCACTCGTTGCGGTCCAGGATGTCCAGGCCATTGGCGCGGAAGAACCCGAACATCGCCGGATCGGATCGCCGGATCGAGGCGGGATCGGGTAACCCCAAAATGGCTTGCCCTGAAAAATGGAAACATGGACTACAACCTGCGGTCCAATTCCTAGTGGTTTAATTTGAACCCACACCCAGGTGTGGAGGGTATGGCTTGGACAGGGCTTGGACAGCCCTTCATTGGAACCCAGCAAGAGAACAAACCTGGCCGAAGAATTCTGAGCATGATTCTCCCATGAGGCAGTTTATGAGAGCTTGGTTAAATAGTAGCCCAACCATTCTAGGCTGCAAATGGTTAAGCCTCCGAGTTTGACAGCTAGCCCTTGCTTGACAGATATCCCAACTATGCGGTTTCTGTTCGGGGAGCTGCTGGCTGCTTCTGCTCCGCTGGATGGCGAACATGCTGTTGAAGCTAGCTTAAGCCAGGAAACGCTGCCATGTCCAAATGCGTGCTTATCCAAACAGGGAACAAAATGGTGGTGTTCCTGTTGGCTTCCTTGGAAACCAAAGTGAACAAGGTACTCTCAAAAAAGAAACTATTTTACAACATTTGCGCTTGAACACAGCACGCGCACGCGCACACACCCACACAAGCTTCATTCCCCTAAAGGAACGGGAGTATGTTGGGATTGACATTTTGAGAAGAGCCTGTGGGCTAACTGCTACCTCTATTTAGAATATGTTTCTTGCCAATGTTCTATTGCAGCCTTCTTCGGCTCGCTCGGTCTGTTAGAGCACTCTATCTTCGTCTTCGTCTTCGTCTTCTTCGTCTTCGTCTTCTTCTGCTTCTTCTTCTTCTGCTTCTTCTTCTTCTCCTCCGTCGTGTTCCTTTTCTGCTGCTTCGCGCAACAGAAACAGCAAAAACGTCGGAACCTACCTTTATCTCTTCTATCAAGTAGGCCAACTTTGCGCAACGGACACGGTGACTAAGGGAGAAGACAAACAGAAACCACAACATACATAGAGCCAGATAAATGGCGCTGCACCTGCCCAGCATCTTGGCTGCCGCTCAAGTGAGCTCCCATGGATATGTTGACATGAACTCAGCTGTCAGTCTTCAGCTTAAATCCCTAGCTGGGTGTGACATTGAGTTGGGCGATTTGCCCTTTGGCGGACTCCATTTCCATGACTAGTGCAACCACCAACCAGTTTTGAGGTGTTCCGACCATTAAACAACTTGGCAAGTGATTTGCGTTTTGAACCGTGTTCCATTGTCCGGCTTCCTCTGAGATGCACCGCGCCTAGGCCCCGCGGACTCTCCTTTGCTTCTTCTTCGTGCCTGGCGGCTTGAAGTAAATAAATCGAGTTACTCTCTTGTGACCTGTTGTTTTTGTTGGACCTGAAGGGTTGTTTCAGACAAGGTTGTCATTTTGATGCCAGTGCTCCCCCGAAGTCTCCTAAACGAAGCCGGCCTACTGAGGGGGCTGCGACCAGTTCAGCTTCTTCTTTGGGCCTCAGAGTACAAAAAGGCTGCATGGCGTAACTCAAATTACCATCCAGCTTGCGCGGAAGACCAAGTATCATTTGACAAAGATGAGTCATCTTCCCAGCGCGTCCAGGCGGCTTCCATGTTAGCGAGAGGCAGGGATTGGACCGGCCAGATTGCGGTCGGGTATCCCTCCATTTACAAACAGGGTAGGCGGGTGTTTCTTCAAATGGGTGAGCCCCAAAAAGTGTCCTCAACGAAAAGCACCCCCATGGCTGAGGGACGGTCTGTTTTGATTGAGCCGCCGGCCCAAGCCATTTGGCTGGCTGAAAGGACATGTAGCCTTTGTGGAAGGTCTTGGCGGGAACCTCGCGCGAGGTTCCCCCCGGTTACTCTTGTCGGCTGGTCTGGAGCTCTGACCTGGCGGGGGGTCCATGTCAGCTGCTGGAAGGGCCAAAGTCGCTGGAGGCTGCTTCTAGGCAACGACTCACGCGAAATGCGCAAGTTTCCACCAAGCTAGGAATAAGAACAGCAACGCTTGCTTGACGTGGAAGCATGACAAGCATGACAGAACCACCAATCGTCCATGCCGCTGGACTAGTACTTGACAAAAGCCTCTTGAGCGAAGAGCCTTGCTCTTCCTCAACATTCCAGGTCAACAGACCTGTCTGGTGCCAAATGGAACTGGACCCTCCTGTTGGAGGACACTTGAGGGGACTGGGGACTTGTGTTGCATGGGAACCAAGAGCGCTCATGCCCAGCCTCATGCGGCTTCCCCGGCACGTGAAAGGATCTCAACAGCAGCACCTTGCAATCCCGGTCGAAGGGGTGACGTCCGATGATCCATGACCTACATGCGTGTTGCATATTTGAAGGCAGGCCAAGTCATGCTGCAGTTGTGCAAGGCTTTGGGCGAAAAATACGCGTGTGCAGGACGGCAAACCGAAGGCTTGCATTGCACAAGCTGACTTTGCCAGCTCCAGCTGCAAAGTTGAAACTTGTTCAGTGAGTTCAGTAAGTTCAGTGCAGCTGTTCAGTCAGCAACTGTAGTATACAAAGTAAACTTGGGCAGCTCCGGCTTGCAAAGCGTGCAAATCTTTGCATATACACTTGGGCATCTTCCAAACAACAATCCACCCTTTTTCATTGTTCAGTCGCTTGTGCAGAACAGGACGTGAGTTGACCAACGAAATCCACTTTTGCAGACGCTGCCCGGACCTCGATGACAAAGGCCTTCGACAGCTCCAACACCAAAAATTGCACCGCGGCAAGCGCCACTGTTGGATCAGTTTGGCCAGCTCCAGTTCGGAAAGTTGCTGCTCAGTGCAAGCGCGGCGAACAAAGTACCAGTTTGACGTTCAAGTACAACTGTAGCACCAGCTTCAAAACTTGCCAGTTGTTCAGTTCAATTCTACCACACAAAGCGCACTTTGGCAAGTCCAGCTCAAAAACGACAAGGGTTCGGAATATTCGTAGCACGCAAAGCTGACTCTGGCAGCTCCAGTTCGGAAATCATGACTTCTCAGCACTGTGCAAGCACATGAAGTGCATGTTTGGCCGCTGCAGCTTGAACACCGCACCTTTGCAGCAATTACAAGTGTCTTGCGCGACGTGGACGATCGCCGTTTCAGTTTGATACGTCCATGAAACGTTCTAGTGCAACAATCTCGGTATTGTGCTTTCCCTTTCTTGCTGTCTCAAGTAACACGCTGGACTTGTGCGGGGAACTGCCGGGGCCCTGTTTGTTTAAGACGCGGGGTTCCTGGAAAACGCCTTGCCCACAAAGCTACTCGAGCGGGGATGGCTGTCCTCGTTTTGTCTCTCAGCACCTTCCACTGCCTTCCCCAGTCCCTTTAGTTCCTTGCGCTGCGCAAAAACACTTCTGAAACCAGATGTGTTTTTTTGGAAAACAGTTTGTTGGCACTAATTAATGACTGGAACTAAACTGAAATTCATGGAACTGATCTAACCATTCTCAACGAAGGCGACGTTCGATACAACAAGGGCGCCTTGGGTCCTGCAGCATCAATGTGACACAGTCCAGCTCCTGAACTCCCCTGAGAGACAACGAGAAAGGAAATCCTTCCCGACTCGGAGATTTCAACTGCTGGAGACACCAGCGGTCGATTGACCCCACACAAATATTGGCAGAAGGTACAGAGTGAGAAGCCTCGCAGAACTCCTCGCGGGTAGGAGGCACGTTCAAGCTCTGGGCTGAGGCCGGCCGCTGACGCAGCAGCAAGCAGCAGCGCTTTAAACGGTCTCCGCAAGGGCAGGGGCGGGCAGCGAGCCAGGCGCCGGCGCCCGGCTGTGGGATCGACTCAAGGCGAGCCCAAACCACTTCCCGTCGCCCGAAGCAAGCAGGTGGGCCCGCATGGGAGGGCAGCCGCGGAAGCCACGTACAGGCCATCATGGCTGTACTGGCGGTACAGCCGGCTCGCAGCGCTTGTCACGGAGGCCAAGTAGGCGGCATGGCCAAACTGCAAAGCCCCAGCCCGCCGCCCGCCAGACCCGCCAGACTACACTTTCAAATCCAAAGGGATATACCTACAAAATATTACAGTGATACCACTACTTTCCAGCACTAAGCCAGTCACATATGACACCAAAAGACCTATAAGGATGCCTATGCTTCGCAATGGGCCCCCACGCATTCTCTGCGTCATTTGCCGGGCGCAGTGCCACTGCCGGCTCTTCACCCTGGTGAAAGGATCAATCGACAGTTCAACGTGTATGGGTGTGTCTTTTTTGGATGGTACCCTTTTTGGGTGTGGTTTGAAGGGAAACCAAAAGGATAACCACCATTTGGAGGTCCCCCAACAGAAGAATGACTATCCCTAGCAACCCCAAGAAAAGCAAGTAGGTTTTTCAAATCGGGGAGCCCCAACAATGTGGTGTCTTTTGCGTTCTTTTTACAACTGCTGGCTTCCCTTTCAAAGAAATCTCAGAAAGGGGGGCTCCAGTTGGGGCACTTCAATTTTACCTGAACAGGGGGCCCTGGTGTCATTTGAGTTGGGGAGGTGCAACCCCTAAGAGAATCTCAACCCGCCATGATATGTGTCGCAAGTGATAGCTCCAAGACTCTCCCTTGGCCCTTTCGCGGCCGCACATCTCTGGGGCAATGGCCGTCCCGGCTCACCCCAAATAAAAATTGGATGGTTTGACCATTGCACATCATCTGGGAAGGAGTCTTGTTTCGGGAATCATATTCAAGCGGATATATGTCTACCTTTTTGAGGATGTGGCCATGCGTCAAAATCCCGTAAAACCAGTGAACATCCCAATCCCCACTAAAATGGGTTCTAAAATGGGTGGTGCACCTACCCCAAAATGGGATCCATTGGTCTTGACCCACCGCCAGGTCGGCTCAACGCAACACCTCACAGCGCACGAGGGCCGCACGGCGTCGACCAGGAAGAGCTCTTCAGGAGCTGCGTCTGGGCCTCGAGTGCATCAGTTTTGTGCGTCTGGGCCTCGAGATCCTTTTCTGGAGAGGCTGTCAGGAGCATCCAAACACTGTCTAGAAAAAAACAGAAGCCGAATGGAAACCACCCAAAATTTCCAGTTTGGAGGTGACTTTGGGGATCAAACCTGGAAATTAGAAATGAGGATGTCTCACGTCTGGCGCTCTGAGGGAATCCGAAAAAGGGACTCGGGCCTGCCTCAAAAGGGGGACCCCCAAAGTGAGTGATTCTTTCCTTTGAGCATCTGCGAGCCGGCCCGAAGCTGGACATGTGAGACGCCTGCATGCGCCTGCGCCAACGCGGTAGCCTGATAGTTGGTTCAAGACTCAAATGGGCGCGCGGCATCACCAAAGCGGCCTTTTGCCAAAAAGCATGGCTCTTGGTAGTCCACTGTGTCGCTTTTCAGTGGTTTGGAACGTCCAAGAGAGCACAAGTGTAGTACGCAATGTACGCTTCCAGCTCAAGCATGAAACCCGTAACTTTGTAACAGTGAAGCACAGGCGGCGCACTTTCGCAGCCAGCTCAAAAATCGCAACTTTGGCACTCTCTCAAAAGTCGCAACTAGAAGCGCCTATTTGTTATAACAATGTAGAGCGCAACGACCGCTTCGGCAGCTCCAGCTGGAAGTCGCGTGCAGGTGTAGCATACGAAGCGCACTTTGGAGCTGCGACTTTGCACCGCAAGCGCGGCATGTGAAGCAACTCCAGCTCGAAAAGCGTAACTGATCAGCGCAAGTGCACACTTTGGCAGCTCCGGCTCGAAAGTTGCAACTGTTCAGCACAAGTGTAGTATGCGAAGCACACTTTGGCAGCTCCGGCTCGAAAGTCGCAAATTTTCAGCATAAGTGTAGTATGCGAAGTATGCTTTAGCAGCTCCATGGATGCGTGCAGACCTCCAACGTCATACTTTCTTCCTATAGAGCCTTTTCCCTGTCTCTCACGTACTCATTCTCACATCTCTCAACTCAACTTGGTTGGCGGGCTGGTGGCTGCAACTGTGTAGCCTTGGCCGCTGAACCAAACCCCTTTCGTTGTTCGCCAGCTAAGGCGATGGCTGATCGAGTCCTTCACTGCGTCCAGGGAAGCCTCGAGCTCGCGCCATGTCGCGAGTCGGAAAGCTCTCATGCAGGAACCTCTTTTCCATCCCAATGTCACAAGGCCCAAGAAACTTTTGCCCAATCCGAGTGAACAGCGACATGGCTCTCATTCAACCCCACTCAAATAAGCCCACTGTCGAGATGACGATGGTGATGATGATGCCGATGATGATGATAATGATTATGATAATGGTGATGGTGATGATACTGATGGTGATGGCGATGGCGATGGCGATACTGATGACGATGATGATAGTGATGATGATGATGATGGTGATGATGCTGATGATGCTGATGCTGATGGCGATGGCGATACTGATTATGATGATGATGCTGCTGATGCTGACGCTGACGCTAATGCTGATTATGATGATTATGATGATGATGATGATGATAGTGATGGTGACGATGGTGGTGATGATGCTGATGATGCTGATGCTGATGGCGATGGCGATACTGATTATGATGATGATGCTGCTGATGCTGACGCTGACGCTAATGCTGATTATGATGATTATGATGATTATGATGATGATGATGATAGTGATGGTGACGATGGTGGTGATGATGCTGATGATGCTGATGCCGATGGCGATGGCGATGGCAATGCTGATGATGATGGTGATAGTGATGATGATGATGATGATGATGATGATGATGATGATGGTGATGATGGTGATGATGCTGATGCTGATGGCGATGGCGATGCTAATTATGATGATGATGATGATAATGATGATGATGATGATGATGATGATGCCGCTGATGCTGACGCTGACGCTGACGCTGATGCTGATGATGATGAGAAGCATGATGATAATGCTGCTGCTGCTGCTGCTGATGGTGCTGATGCCGATGCGGATGCCGATGCGGATGATGAGAATGATGGTGGTGATGGTGATGGTGGTGATGGTGACGGTGACGGTGACGATGATGGTGATGATGATGATGATGATGCTGGTGATGCTGATGCTGCTGCTGCTGCTGCTGCTGCTTCTGCTGATAGTGCTGATGCCGATGCGGATGCGGATGCCGATAATGATGCTGATGCTGATGCCGATGCTGATGTTGATGATGATTGCCAGGCCCACTGTGCCCGAAACTAAACACACTCAAACTCTGAGTCTGAGGCCACCTCTGCGCTGGACACCTTGACCCGAAAGCCTTCAAGGCAAACATAGGCAGACTGGCGAGCTAATGTCACTAGTAATGCGCGCAAAGGCGCCAGTGGCAACACAACCGCGACACGGCCGAACAACGCGAGGGCGACCAGTTGGTGTCAAGCAACTACAGTCGGTTGCCCTGCGAAGCTCGTCAACTTGCGCACAGCTTACGCCCGCCAGGGTTGAAGATCTCACCTTTTCTGTGCAAGTGTACTACCTTCAAACTGCGGGACGCAGGGTTAGGATAGAACCGCATATGTCCAAGGATCTGCTGCGAAGATTGAAACAAAAAGCGAGGGAACTCAACCCAAATTCATTCATACTTGGCAAATGTAGCATTGTATCATGTTGCTTAACAGCCCTACGCGAGAAGCCTACGTACGCGAAGGGTGAAACTGCGACGTACGCGCACAAGCCTACGCAAGCTCATGCCCCGACACGAGCCTACACCCCCAACCAGGATGGCCTCCGCAAAGGTGAAAACCTTTCGTTTGATCAAACAGACAAAAACATTGTTAAAATTCACCTCAAACAAACTGAACCCAACAAAACCAGTTTAGCTCCACCAAACAAATTGAGCCTACAATCCCCCTCCTTTTGCTCGTCTACACACTCCTTGCGCGAAATAGTTACCCACAAACCCGTCCGTTGGCAGGTGTGAATTTTAATTTGGCTCGCCTTGGTGAACCTCGTGGTTCATGCGCGTTTTTGCGGTTCCTGAAATAGGAACCCACGCATTCCTTGTGGGGCCCCACATCGTCGCGCGGCGTTGCCCCCCTGCGCCTTCCAGCGGCGCCATTGAACCGGACAAGGCCAGGGGCAGCGTGGTGCCCGGCCTTCTGCTCAACTCGAAATATGCTGTCACTGGGCTGTCCGTTTTCAGACTCCCCGCTAAAAGTGACCAACTTTTAGTGAGTTAAGTGGAAATCCAACCACTCAACGCTAAAAAGCTAAAAGGCTAAGGGGATGGCTGGGAGCCACGTTCACAGACTGTATGATTCGATCAAAAAGACATCCCGTTGCAGGGAAGCTGGCGGGAAACACACGGGCGCTATGTTGTCCGACAACTGGAGACCGCCCTTAGTGGATGGACTCATCTAGTGCCGATGGCCAAGCTTCCATGCTGCAGATTCCGCACGCCTCACTTCCGTGGATTGGCTAAAAAAACGTTCAATATTGGTACCACTAGCATGGTCCTTCCAAAAGTATAAGTCCAGAATCTCAGGCAATGAGAAGTGTTCAAGGGAAACACATGCAAAATCATGCGGACTGGCACTGAAGGATTGCGCAAGAGATTGCACGATTCTGCAAAGAGCTTGTGCACACAGACTACTTGCGTCGACTTGCGTCCTGAGGTGGCACCAGAGATTGCCCACACAAATCGATCAACGAGCTTGTACACATTCGGCTAACATATATTGCGCTGAGGGACTGCCCACCTGCAAGCATGTTTACAGGGACAAGCTCAGGCATCTTGGGTGCGCATGGTGCGCAAGAATTGCCGAGCTGGCATGCTCCTCTCCGCCTGTCTTCTTCGCTTGTCTAGTTGGGTGTAACTGTCTTTGCGCTGCGTAGCCGCTGTTTGCTCTCAATATACGAATCGCGCCTGCACGTGCACAAAGCAATTCCGCGTCTGCCTTGCATTTTGTCGTTTTGGGAGAGCTGTCGCCTGTTCTGTTCTCGGGTGTTCACAATCAATCGGGTCTTGCGTGCAAAGAGCCCCCGTCAATCGAAACAGAACGATATATATATATATATATATATATATAGAGTAAGTTGAATATGTAAATGATTGGAAGGAATACACCTGATTGGGCATAGCCGGGCGGGCGAGCCTATTTTCCTTGACAAAATCTATCAGAGAAGACGCGAACATGCCCCATGATCCAACAGCGAAGACGTGAGGTACCTCATCTGTGGAGGCTTTGCCGGCACGGGCGATAGCAATCACAGAGACATCTCCGTGCCCAAGCCCCGTGCCAGCCAGCAAAGCCCCTCACCTGCGGCGCTGGGCTAAGCCAGGAGCTGAATAGGGCTGATTGGCACCTCGATTAGACGTGGCACGGTCTTTGAGAACTTTTGAGAACTTTGGAAAGGTGGCATGGGGTTCAAACCTGAGAGTGGGTGACCCTCTTTGAACTCAGAATATCTCGAACCCTCTTGAAATCCGAATATCTCAGGGCCTGCCACAAATTAAAACTCCCAATGCCTTGCTGTTACACCCCGAGAGCTGTACCCCTCGTTGCCCTCCATCTTTTGACCGCGCCTTGTCACGCATCTGCAGGGCGGTCTCGTTGTGCGGCCACAGCTTTCCCTCATCTTTGGAGATCAAAGGGGCCTACCGCTGCTCGTTGCAGAGCCTTCGTCATCCATGCCCGAAACGGCCCGAGGGAGTTTGATGTGCCACGTCAAAAATGCCGAGAAGCACCTCCCTGTGTGAAACTGGCCCTTGGCACGCCCAACCTACGCTCTTGTAATCAAGGAGAAAACCTACTTGCCTGAACACCAAACCCTCCTCAGGCTGAAGATCAGAGCTGATATGAACAAAGTCCTGGCTCTCGCTGCATTGGCTTCCGACAAAAACGGCATGCGCCGTAGCCACAGTCCGGAAAATGCAATAATAGAAAAACAAATAACAATAATAATAAAATAAAAAAATATTAACAATAATTACAATAATAACAATAATAAACAATAATAACAATAATAATAAACGGGCTTGGAGAAATGAGCAACCCACCAACACACCTCACATAGTCAACTGAGACTTCAAGCTGTCCTCTCAATTGTACTCCAATCAGTTTGTCTCAATGATCGTTCCGTGACAAAATGCAACGTGCGTGCAAGCTTGTCGGCATTGCATCCATCTCGTGACGTGCGAAAGAAACTGAGCGGTATGGTTGTGCTGTCATTGTATCTCAAGAAGCCCAAGGAAGATCTTCCTACACCAGCTGATTCGAGGATTTGTTTTTTGACACATCCTTCCAGAACGCTGGCTGTGAATCCGTTTTGGCATGACTGATTGACTTTCATTGTGGGAAGCCTTCATCTCGATCGAATTCGGAATGCGCGCGCGCGAAGGCCTTCTCAACGAGACGCTCGTCCTGCGCTTCCGCCGTGTCCATGGTGATCCCGCCCTTGAGCAGCTTCGGAAGCACCTGCCAAGCTGAGCTGCTCGGCAAGCACCGAAGGCACCGATCTAATTCTTGGCGATGGCTGGGTGATAGGGGTCACTAGATGTCTTCTAAATGAAGCCCATTTACTGGTGGGTTGCAACGAAGCTGCCACGTTTGGTGCGACAAAACAGACATTGAGGGACCACAAAGCCCGAAAGGACGCCTGGTTTGTGAAAAAAAAGGCTGAACAGAAGGGGAAATCAGAGTTGGAAGTTTGGGGCCCCCGTTGTTTGATGGAGGCTCTGCCCAAACAACTACTGGATTTGCACCCAAAAAAACACCAAAAAAAGGCGAATCATTGGCTTTACAGTAGGCATGGCATGGGTGAACAAAAACATGTCTGTGTTCTTGCTGCTCCGGATCAGTGGGGAAGCAACTAAAAACAACTCGATAAAGGCACCACTGCAAGACAGCGAGACCTACTGGTCTATGTGGCCTTTGAAATGCTATCTGCAACGAAAGTGCCAAACAAGGTCCTACCAACATGCTGGTAAACACCCGCCGGCCACCAGTAATGCCGAACCTCTGGCAACTCCTCGACTCAAACAGCCTAAAATGGTTCCAGTCGATCAAGCTTCGAGCAAAGCCGAAAGCCCCATGCAGACTCCCGAATGCAAAGATAGCCCCAAGGCAAACTGTGCTGTTTTTGTCTTATTGCCAAAAAGGCAATGGTGAAACAAAGGCCACTGTTGGAATACGTGTCCAGTTTGCTGGTTTCTGGAAATGCCTGCTTCTCCAAGAGGGTGGCACACCCAACGACAAAAACATGTTTACACACGACATATTCGATCAATTGGGGGCATTCACCGGCGCTTGGAAACACGCCCGCTCGCGCCAGCCTCCACCAGCAGGTCTGCGCCGCGCCTCGGAAAAAACAATTCGCTTGGCAGGGAAGTTCGACTGGTAGACAAAGCCGCGAAGTTGTGTGGCACTTCGCGAACTTCGATAAGTTCCTGGCATCTATGAAGCAAACCCCATACGCAACCACAACTTAGCGCGTCGCGTAGGCGTCCGCCCAAAAAATGTGCAGGATTAAAGCGGGGCCGGGTCTTAACGCTCCTGAGGGTTGGGACATGTCGGAACTGTCATTTCCTTCCTTTGATTGTGGCACTGAGCAAAAGTCGCTGGTGGGAAAAACTGCTCCGGTCCTACAAAACACAGTGAAGAGAGTGCCGGCCACAGAGGGGGGGGGAGGCTCAGCTCGTGGCCCGAAAAGGTAATCCAGCAGCTCCGGGGAGGTCTCCGAACCTAGCTCACGGAACCCAACGGACCATCGAGAAATGCCCTTTTTCAGGAAACCTTTGGTTGATCCCATGTTGATCTGCAGAGATCCCCATGGACTGGCACAAGCATGAATGCAATGACCTACAAAAATGTGGTGACACGCGAAAAAGCGTGTGACAAAATCTGCTATCCGGCACTCACCCTGAAATGGCTCAGAACATCGCAAGCGACGCTGACGCAAACATGAGAATTCAAGCTGAGGAGCCGTTCAAGGGCAGCTTCTCCTGGACAATGATTGGCCTCAACCAGTCCAACCGGACCGTAGCCACAAGTTCATGGGAGTGGGTTCAGGGTGACAAGGACATCTGCTGGCCTGAATCTGCACACCACCATCCAATGCGTCACGCGGAGTTAGAAACACACATTTCAAGGTTGGTCAGGGCTGACCATCACTACACCGAATAACGTTGAACAAGTACAACCGAATACAACCTGCCAGGTCGGCCCTCATTCCGAAGTTGACAGCTGTTTGCCTTGTCCAGTCTGCCTTTCATTGATTGCCCTGTCCAGTTCCAAGAGCAGATGCCAAAAACCCTGTAAAATTCCACAAAAATAGAAACCAAGATGAAGCCCCCACCTCCTTAATTCCTGGTCGACCAAAGGTGACAAAGCTGCGAGCCCGGTTCCGTGTACATGGAATCTGTGGACATTCCGGGCCAAAATGTGTCGCCGGCGGTGTGCAAACACGTCAATGCGCTTCCTGTCAGCTCGGATGCCCATTGAATTGGGGTCCAAGCAGTTCTCCGGCGCAAAAAGTCCAACTCGGTCCCGAGTACCAAGAATCTGGACCTGCTCAAAATGGAGAGTTGGCCGCTCCCAATCCACAATCTCTATTTGGAAACCGCAAAGGATGAAGCATTTGAACCTCGCCTTTATTTTGTAAACTTTATCATTCTAACCCAAGCATGCAGAAGGAACCACTTGAACAGTCCCAGTTGGCTCTTCGGGCCACCGGGCCCTGCGTCCATCTTTGCCACAGTGTAGAGAATCTGCGGGTGAGGCTCCCATGTGAGCTGTCGCCATGTGAGCTGGGCCGTGGTCCAATGGCTGGGTCCATACACGGGGCTCGCTTTTGGCAGTGCTGTTCACTGGCGGTCAAACAGAGAGCTGGCCAATGCTTCTCCACAATTCTTGGTTGGAATCCACTAAGAATCAGGGGCCCCTTTTGCTACTTCAAGGAAGGATGAAGGATTTGGCCAGGCCGCCTCTTGCTGGTTGGTCAGTCTATGGTTAGTTGTTGGTGCGTCTACGTTTCCTCTGTTACCAGTCTGCTGATAGTCCCTGATCAAGCGATTGCTGATTATTGATTTGAGATTTGTGTACTGACGGTTGCTAGCTATTCCCGTGTTAAAGGGAATAGTAGCCTGGCTACCTGCAGTGGTAGCTAGCACTGGGATTAGTTCCAGTGAAAACGGTTGACCCACACCCCGCGCCGTGATGCCGGTCTCCGTGTCGCCGGCCACCAAGCAACGCTGCACCGGAGAAGCGCCTGGGGAGAAACTTGGCAAACGGGTCCAGTTGTTATGTGCTCTAAAATAGTGCGTGGCTTGTTCTTCCGAAGAGGCAGTCACCAGCCCCGCGGGGGGCTGGGGGGTAATTGGGGCAGGTAAAAAGGGGGGCAGGGGAGCAGGGGGGCACTTGTTGGTTTGGAGGGACCCTCCAAATCTGAAGAAATTTTGGTCTTAAGGTTTGGATCTCTCACTTCTGGTTCTGATTGGAACTCCATGAAACTTTGCGGATGGGGACAGATCCCCACAAATATATGGCTTGGGACGGGCTCTCATTGGATTTTCCCTTTAGATGCGATACTGGCCACGGCACAGATTTGGTGCCTGTCCGCCATATTCCCCATGTTCCAACACAATTCGTGTAGGTACTGCCAACAGTTAACCCATCTGGAGGTTCGCAGGGCAAATGCGGGCAATTCTTCCATATTCCTCAGTTTGGTTCCCTCCCCTCCCACGAAAAATGACAACAGGTCTTCAAGCAAGGATCGCCCCGACATCCAGTTGGGCGAACCACGTGCTGCTTTCATTGGGACACTAAACCGATCAAGAATCAGCTGAACCACAAGCATCTTGGGTATGTGTCAAACTATGAACACCTTCGGCGGTACCTCTTGCCGAGGAATTATGCTCTATCCTAACGGGGAAGCTTTTCCACCGCAGTTTTGGTCCAGGGTTGCTTTAGGGTGGCTTAGAGTGGCTTGAGTCTTGGCGAGGGTTGGTTTAGTGTTGGCCTAGCATGGTTTGGGGTCGGTTTAGGGTTGGTTTAAGGTCCGTTCAGGGTTGGTGCGGGGTGGCTGCAGGTCTAGGGTTGGCTGGTTTAGTAGGGTGGGTTACGGTTGTTTGGGGGTCAGGGTGGGGTTAGAGTGGGGTTAGGGTTGGTTTAGATTCGCCTTAGGGCGGTTTGGGGTGGGGTTAGGCTTGCTCTAAGGTTGTTTGTAGTTGGCTTAGGGTGGTTTGGGGTCGGTGTAGGTTTGGTGTAGGCTTGGGTAAAGGCCGGTTTGGGCTGGCTTGGAATTGGTTTAGAAATAGATTAGAGTCTCTTGTGGTTGGTCTGGAATCGGTTCGGGCTGTTTGCTTGCTTGCGGTTACTGTTTGAGGGCTGGTTTAGGGTTGGTTGCACTCTTGCTTGCTTGTTTGCTTGCCGGAACGCAGTGGAAACACAACACGTTGAGGTGGAACATAGTTCCCCTAAACATGGCTCGCCAACTCCTTCGTGGTTACCGTCAAAGCAAACCCACCTGAAGCCAACCACTCAGAAGGATACAGGTGATTTTGGACACGTCCCGGGCCGGTTGACCTGGAACCCACGAGTTTGGGACGTATACAAAAAGGACTGGCTGCAGCTTCTCCACTCCAGAAAGGGCCTTGGGCTCCCTGACTCATCCCAGTGCACATGAGCCATGCGGCGAGTTGGGGGGGGCTTCCATTTCTTGCTGCGCATTCCCCCTCCAACCCGTTCTGGGGTTGGTTTGAAGGGGAACGACCCGTGTTGGAGATCCCCACATCCCCATAATATGAGCAGCGCCCAAAAAAAAACAAGTTGACTCTTGGTTTTACCAACATGGTCATAAAGGCTTATGCAGGCTTACCGGAACCCCAATGAAACCCGATAGCAGAACCGCCTAGCAGCTAAACCTTCATCGCTGGTTTGGAACCCATTCTTCTGGAGGGTAAGTGGGACACCCCCCCCCCACTTCCAAACCATCAATCCAAACCGCCAATTACATAACATGGCAGGCCTTTGGTGTGACCTTGGCTTCCTACCTAGATCTTTAAGCAACAAAAGGCTTTTCCATTGCACCTACAAACAGGTACGACAGTTTGCTCAGGGGGGGAGCAACCCAATTACATACAGGCTGTATCATACAGGCAGGTTGATCCTACCAACAGCGACCGCGTCTTATCCAATTCAATGGTACACTGATGGCAAGCCCCAACACAAATCAAAATCAATAATTTATCAATATGGATGTTTCTCAAAATCGAGGACACCTGTTTCCACTATTTTAAAGGGAAACCGCGAAGAACCTATCATCTTTTCAGCTCCCCAATCTTGAGACGTATGAATATCTAGTTATCTCCGCGGTGCCTCTCCATCTTGGCAGCAGCGAGGGGTGAAGGTTCACAGTGCCCAGCTTGGGCGCCTCTGTTCGGAACGGTTCGTCGAACCGGTCGTGTGTTCAAATAGCCCGCAGGACCCATGGGAACCACACAGGGACCCCCCACCGTCTTTGTGTAACCTTCGTGTTTCTGACCGTTCTGACCCAATCCTTCTGTTTTGTCGACCACAAAAGGATTTGAACAGCCCCAAGAATAGCCCACACAATCCATTTACGTAATATATGCCAACATTGGACCAATTTGGACAATTATTTTGGGTTGCCTTTGGTTTCGTCTTAAACAAAAAGGACAACTTTTGACGGTACCCCGTTCAGGTTGTGTGAAAAGGAAACCACCAGGAACCGAAATCCGACCCATTTGCTTGCAATGGTTTATCATGGAGAAAAGGTGAAGTTTGAACAGCAAACCACCAGAACCAGTAGCTCAACACCATTGAGACCTGCGCGACTGAGCTTCGATGGTCTGGGAATCCAAAAATATGTCTGTCTCAGGCGTACCCACCCAACATGAGACCCACCATATGGCCCCTTTAGAAGAACATGGTCTTCCAGCAATCCTCAGTCAGATTCCATGGGTGAAAGAGTGCTGCCCCAAGCGTCCTCCCTCGGGATCACAAGCACGGACGCCTTCATGAGTTACAAGCACGCAAGTGCCGACTGCTTGTTGGGGGCGGAGTTTGAGCTTTACGGCTGGATATCATATTCTCAATCTCAATGACACACAACAAAATGAGACAGGAGAATCCAGTCACCACCTTGCCAGCCTGGGTCGGTGCAAGAGATCACACATCACGACAAAGCAAGACAACACCAGCCCAAGCAAGGCCAGTTGCCGGTCGTCAGGTGCCATTAACTACACGAGCCATCGGCATGGCCATAGTGTCAAGATGAAAGCTGGCACAAAAACTCAGCCTGCAAGAAGCGCTTGGGCAGGTACTCTCCATACCTGACATCTGACTGAGAACTCGTGTTTCCTCTTGCTGGCTTTGCACAAAGGGAAGCAACAAACCACCCATTGCTAACTTCCACACACTTCAATTTAACTTGTGCCGACTCCTCCGCCGTTTTCAAACCTGCACCCCAGACCTCTTGCCGTGCAAAACCTGAGGCAGCCTTGTGGTAGTTGATTTCAATTTAAACCCCCCTCCGGGAAAAACAATAAAGAAATTGGACAAACAACGGAGAAAGAAGGGAAGCAACCGCCCGGAGGTCGGGGAAGTCAACATCACCGGACAGGCATTTCGATGCATGCCGAGCGACGCTGCGGTGACGCACACCTTCGGGGCGGGCCCTGCAGTTTCATGCGGAAAGAAAGAAGGGCCTCCGTTTTAGCCCCAAGCACCAGACCCCCCACAGTTTGGATCTCCATTGGAAGATGACTTTTAAGGGGAAGCGCGCCGCTATGCCGCCATGCGCAAAGACCCCCAGTGATCACGAGACTTTGCGGCCAGTCTGGTGTGCTTTTTGCCGCAGGGTCGGTCTTTGACCTCCAACTCGCTAGTAAGAAAAGACAACGATCGAAAAAAGTTCAGAGCTGAATGGTTCTACCAAAGAGACCCCAGTCTGGTTTTAGAAAAATGTATTTCTCCACTGGTCGAAATCACTGGGCAGCAACGTCAGAGAAAGGCCGGGCAAACGTGCGGTTACAAACGGACAACTTTGGCAAGCATCCCTACCAACACTCAAAGGACAGAGATGTGTCTCATGAGGAACCTGAAAATGAGTGTGTTCCTTTTTCTCCCCCTTAAAAATCCCTCGCAGGCGGGCCCGGCCGCAATAAAACACACGGTGGACACAAAGAGGAGCAGCTAAGGCCAATTGGTCTAATGGGATGTAAGTTTGGTTCGCCTATTACCACTTTGAATAAACCAATGGGGCACCTGGTGGCATCGATGTTCACCTGAGGGTAGGCGGGTAGCGGGTGGACCAAAATGGTGGCCAACTGACATCAAAGGCCCCCCACGCCTAGTTTAAGAACCTTCTCAATTAGAAGGGATTCTGATCAAAGGGTTCCTTTTGAACTTCTATTTCTTGTTGGGGAGGGCCGGGGACTGCAAGAAACCCCAGAATAACTAGGTCCTCCAGAGAGGTTAGAATAGAGAGGTTAGAAGGGGAAGAGGGTACTACTGGGGGTCCTAGATTAGAATAAGAGGGAAAAGGGTACTGGAAAACCTCGATAGGGGTAGTGAGCGCAATAGGGGTAGTGAGCTTGGCCCTCTGCCTCCATGACTCTCACTCTGGGGCTGCTGCATCTGGCTTCAGCTTCTCCAGCTCGTCCAGGAAGTCAGGATCCTGGACACATGCTGTGGATGGACGAAATCCTGCACCTAAGACACCCTGGTTTCTGATTCGATTCCCCTGTAACCAACAACCAATGGGTTTGCATGGTTTCAAGGTGGTGCAGGATTTTGTCCATCCACAGTGGGGGTGTGGCTCAAAATTAGAGAGCTGGGGTCACGCGTTTTGTTTTGTGTCTTTGGTTCCAGTTACCAGGGCGCCAAATGTTGGTGCCGGTGGTTTGGAGCCACAGCCATGTACCCTGGCCAAAGCGATACATCAAGCACACTTACTCAAGATTCATCCACCAGCGTCCACCAGCTGGTGCAGCATTCATCCGTGCCATGGAGGGAAAATTAATCAATCAATAAGCCATGAAATCGATTGAACCAGTGAACTCAAGCAAAACAAAAATGCAACATGGGACATGGGTAGGAGATTTGATTTCGAACTCATGGGAAAGGACGCAGTAAACATGGAGGATGGAGATCCAACTATTTGGTGAGGGTGCTCCAACCATTGAAATCCATGTAATACCCAAATTCGATGAGAAATGGGACCCCAAGCCGACAATACGCAGCACCGGTGCTAACAGCACGAGCGTTGCAGTGAGTGCTGCATTTCAAGCTTGCAAATCAAAAGTTGCGTACATACAAGTATCATGAACGCCCCTGGTCACACTCCAAACAGCGTCTGGGGAAAAACCACGCTGGATCCCAGTCAGAAGTTTCATTGTTTAGAGGAACCTCCTTTTGGGGAAGAAGCCCATTTTTGGGATGCGGAAACTGCCCAATAGGTCAGGGGGGAATATAAGCCCTTTGGTTTCCGGTGCCCCGTGCTAGGCCATTTAATACGCAGGTAGGAGCCTTGGCGGAGCTCGGGACCAGCACGGAGACCTTGGCCAGGCAGGCGTGCGCCAAAACTGACAAACATTTCGGGCTGCCCTGGTTGCCATGTTTTTCTTCAGAATCCTTATTATTGTCTAAAACCCTCCAAGAGGTTGATGACCATGTCTGACTGCCAACCCCAGGTAAACCAAGTATTTGGACCATGACAAACATGTGCAAAACACGCAATCCTTGCTGGCCTCTCTACTAGGGTGCAGGTTTCATGGTGCAATGGTAGCAGCAAGAAATACGGGCGCTGCTCAAATGCAGCATGTGCGTCTTGCTCGTCGTCACTCTCGCTTGCGTGCTTTCTGTGGACTCCGACAATATTGCCAGCAAACCCATCACGAATAAATACTCCATTATTCTTGCGTCAACTGCAGCTCCTTGAGGAAATCATGGCCAAACATTGCCAGAGGACATGCCAAGTCTTACAAAAGGGGAACACGTTGGACACCAAAACTTGTTTGCTTCCTTTTGGTTTCCCTTTAAACCACTCCAAAAGGGGAAACGAGGCCTCGAAAAGACGCACCTGCAATCTAAGACTTGGCAGCTAAGTCCGTGACCCCAAGCTTGTCAGCTAACGCATGCACAGGCGTCTTGGTAATCGCCTGCAAAACACATCAGTATGTCAAGAGGGCCGCTCTTGGGATTCTCTTGGTGCGTTTCAAAGGACACTTCCTTGGAAAACAATGAGGAACAGGTGCCCTGGGTACCTCTTTGTTCATTTGACGCTTTTTTTGCGCTACAACCCGTCTGGTTTCGAGAGAAATTGGTCGCTCTGAACAAAAAAAACGAAAAAACTAATGTTTTGCCCAAGCAGTGCATAACCCACCTTCTTGACGCGCTTGGGCGGTCTTGACACCACTGCGCAGACCTGCAAAGCTGCGCTTGGGACGATGACACTCAACAAAAGGCCTCCAAAAGGTGACTCTCCTGTTTGCCTCCTTCGCTGCAATGTCCCTGCAAAGTCTTATTCAACATATTGGAGAGCGACCTGATCTCCGTGACGGCCAAATTCACATTATCCGACATGTCAATATGGCTTGCTTGAGTCTAGCCAGGCAAAAAGGGCCGGAGAGCCCCATGCTTAGCTTTTTAAAAGTGAGTGTAAAATGAGTGAGTGAGAGTAAGTGTGTATAAGTTCAGTGAGTAAGAGTGAGAGTGGTTGAATGTCAGTAGGTGTAAATTGAGTGAGTGAGAGAATGTATAAGTCAGGGAGTGTAAGTTGAGTGAATGATAGTAAGTGTGGTGTGTTAGTTAGTGAGTGCAATAGTGAGTGTAAGTTGAGTGAGCGACATCATAAGTACGTGTAAGTGGAGTGAGTGAGAGAGAGGGTGAGTGAGTGAGTGAGTGAGTGAGTGAGTGAGTGAGTGAGTGAGTGAGTGAGTGAGTGAGTGAGTGAGTGAGTGAGTGAGTGAGTGAGTGAGTGAGTGAGTGAGTGAGTGAGTGAGTGAGTGAGTGAGTGAGTGAGTGAGTGAGTGAGTGAGTGAGTGAGTGAGTGAGTGAGTGAGTGAGTGAGTGAGTGAGTGAGTGAGTGAGTGAGTGAGTGAGTGAGTGAGTGAGTGAGTGAGTGAGTGAGTGAGTGAGTGAGTGAGTGAGTGAGTGAGTGAGTGAGTGAGTGAGTGAGTGAGTGAGTGAGTGAGTGAGTGAGTGAGTGAGTGAGTGAGTGAGTGAGTGAGTGAGTGAGTGAGTGAGTGAGTGAGTGAGTGAGTGAGTGAGTGAGTGAGTGAGTGAGTGAGTGAGTGAGTGAGTGAGTGAGTGAGTGAGTGAGTGAGTGAGTGAGTGAGTGAGTGAGTGAGTGAGTGAGTGAGTGAGTGAGTGAGTGAGTGAGTGAGTGAGTGAGTGAGTGAGTGAGTGAGTGAGTGAGTGAGTGAGTGAGTGTGAGTGAGTGAGTGTGAGTGAGTGAGTGAGTGAGTGAGTGAGAGTGAGTGAGTGTGAGTGAGTGAGTGAGTGAGTGGAGTGAGTGGAGTGAGTGGAGTGAGTGAGTGAGTGAGTGAGTGAGTGAGTGGAGTGAGTGGAGTGAGTGGAGTGAGTGGAGTGAGTGAGTGAGTGAGTGGAGTGAGTGGAGTGGTGTGAGTGGGTGAGTGAGTGAGTGTGGAGTGAGTGAGCGGAGTGAGCGGAGTGAGCGGAGTGAGCGGAGTGAGCGGAGTGAGTGAGCGGAGTGAGTGAGCGGAGTGAGCGGAGTGAGTGAGCGTGAGTGAGCGGAGTGAGCGGAGTGAGCGGAGTGAGCGGAGTGAGCGGAGTGAGCGGAGTGGGCGGAGTGGGCGGAGTGGGCGGAGTGGGCGGAGTGGGCGGAGTGAGCGGAGTGAGCGGAGTGGGCGGAGTGAGCGGAGTGAGCGGAGTGAGCGGAGTGAGCGGAGTGAGCGGAGTGAGCGGAGTGAGCGGAGTGAGCGGAGTGAGCGGAGTGAGCGGAGTGGAGTGAGTGGAGTGAGTGGAGTGAGTGGAGTGAGTGGAGTGAGTGGAGTGAGTGGAGTGAGTGGAGTGAGTGGAGTGAGTGGAGTGAGTGGAGTGAGTGGAGTGAGTGGAGTGAGTGGTGGAGTGAGTGGAGTGAGTGGAGTGAGTGGAGTGAGTGAGTGGAGTGAGTGGAGTGAGTGGAGTGAGTGGAGTGAGTGGAGTGAGTGGAGTGAGTGGAGTGAGTGGAGTGAGTGGAGTGAGTGGAGTGAGTGGAGTGAGTGGAGTGAGTGGAGTGAGTGGAGTGAGTGGAGTGAGTGGAGTGAGTGGAGTGAGTGGAGTGAGTGGAGTGAGTGGAGTGAGTGGAGTGAGTGGAGTGAGTGGAGTGGAGTGAGTGGAGTGAGTGGAGTGAGTGGAGTGAGTGGAGTGAGTGGAGTGAGTGGAGTGAGTGGAGTGAGTGGAGTGAGTGGAGTGAGTGGAGTGAGTGGAGTGAGTGGAGTGAGTGGAGTGAGTGGAGTGAGTGGAGTGAGTGGAGTGAGTGGAGTGAGTGGAGTGAGTGGAGTGAGTGGAGTGAGTGGAGTGAGTGGAGTGGAGTGGAGTGAGTGGAGTGGAGTGGAGTGGAGTGAGTGGAGTGGAGTGGAGTGGAGTGGAGTGAGTGGAGTGAGTGGAGTGAGTGGAGTGGAGTGAGTGGAGTGAGTGGAGTGAGTGGAGTGAGTGGAGTGAGTGGAGTGAGTGGAGTGAGTGGAGTGAGTGGAGTGAGTGGAGTGAGTGGAGTGAGTGGAGTGAGTGGAGTGAGTGAGTGAGTGAGTGAGTGAGTGAGTGAGTGAGTGAGTGAGTGAGTGAGTGAGTGAGTGAGTGAGTGAGTGAGTGAGTGAGTGAGTGAGTGAGTGAGTGAGTGAGTGAGTGAGTGAGTGAGTGAGTGAGTGAGTGAGTGAGTGAGTGAGTGAGTGAGTGAGTGAGTGAGTGAGTGAGTGAGTGAGTGAGTGAGTGAGTGAGTGAGTGAGTGAGTGAGTGAGTGAGTGAGTGAGAGTAACAATGTGTAAGTCAGTGAGCGTAAGTTGAGTGAGTGAGAGCAAGTATGTGCAAATGTGTAAGCCAGTGAGTATAAGGAGAGCAAGGAGTAGGATGAGGGATGAGGGAGCAGGAAGGAGGAAGGAGGGTGAAGGAGAGCGGCGCGGACGGTAAACAGTTATCATCGTTGAAAGTAAGAACCCCAGACAATACTGTGCAGAAATAAACCTGTTCAAGGCTCAATACTCTGTGGAAGCCTAGAAGCTTTCATACTTGTGGGCAGCCGGATTGAGGCCATGTTACAACATGTGTATCATACCAAAAGTTGTTACCCTGTTCACTAGTTTGCAGAGAACTTGTTGGAAAACCCTTCAGTGCTGAGCATAGCTGGCCGATTCTCCCTACACAAATGAAGGCATGTAGAATAGATGCACATACCCTCACCATAGTGGTCCAATGGTCTGTGACACGGCAGTGACAGGGGTTGTTTCCAAGCTGCCTTGGCAAATGAGATGGATATTTCCCTCCCACCAACTACCATGGAACCGGGGGGTTTTAGGAGGGTCAGCCAACTACTGGCGTTCTCGTCAGGATGACAATACCCGTCACAACACCTTGAGGTCTTATCGGGAAGGGGATTCCACCCTCCCGGCCGTTGGGTGCCGGAAATCCCCCCGACAGTTTGGGCAGTTTGCAGGGGGCCCGGGCAGCAGGCTTGCGCCACCTCCTTGTTGAAACTTGTTTCTTAACAAACTCTGTGTTGTTTTTACCTTCACAGGGGCCAAGGTCTGTAGGGCGAAAGTAGACTAGACCGAAAAGGGTTCTCGAAGTGTGCCATCTACTTTCACCCAACTGTAGTTGTTCCCTTGGCATCAAACCCAGACTTGTTTTAACCTCCTTTTGGTTTCCCTAGGCCATGAGCTTACCGTTGTAGCCAAATGTTCCTCGGGATCCGGGGCCTCGAAGCCCTTCTCGTTCTGAGCTTGGCAAAGTCGTTCGAGCACCACCTGGCGCAAGTCGCCTCGAACGGGAGGCAAAATACCAACGCCCTGCTGAACAACGAAACCACGGATGAAACTTTTGTACCCTGATACTCTAGTATCGGTTAGATATACCCAAGAAGTCATCGACCAAACAAAGTAACGTCTTTGTACAAAAACTACATTTAGGCTCATCGACCGAACTTTGGCAGGCAAGCTCCATGCGCACCGAGACGACATCATTTGCAGCACCAACGCATTCTGACTCGTGGATCGAACGTTGGTTGACATACCCATGCATATACCCCCAGAAATGTCCTGTCCACTATCTATGAATGATTTGCCATGCCATTTGTCTAATGCATGACCAGGTGTAGAATCCCACAAAGAGGCGCATTTACTTTGTCAGCAGGGTGCACCTCCTGGAACCCACACCACGCACACGCACACACATTCACTTCACAATCAATCAACTGTGGTCACAGCATCGTGACTCAGAACCATACACACACATGCAGAACAAAATGGTACTTCGGATGCTTTGCGATCAGTGAAGCCAATGGCCGGCGCTTCTTGATTGGATGGCCAGCCTTCGCTCAATCTGTGATTGCTGCGTGGCACGCAGTGGATAGGAATAATATGTGTAGCATGCGGAGATTCGTATTGGTCAATCAGCTCCACCTAGGTGGAACGGCGGAACTATTGAGGCGATCCTCGCATGAGGCGAGCTTTGGCTAAAGGCCGGGGCTATGACGTTTGTATGCAAACATGGCGCACTTGCATCAATCAACTTGGAATTTGTTGCGCCAGGGCACCAAGAATTAGATGAGTATTTCCCTGCAACACGCGATGACGAAGATGGGGGCCAGCAAGATCAAGGTGCGCCTCCCTCCCAGATCCTCGATGTGTTGTGTCAATTCAAAGGGTCCTCCGACATCCGCTTTCATAGCGTTGCTGGTTGCATGATTTTCTGGAAGGTGTGGCTCAAAAAGCTCAGTTCACGTGAGCCCTGTTTGCTCCGCGCTTTTCACTCGATCCGGCGGACGTGCATGCCGGACTACCGGAGATCCAGGATGGACACCTCGCGGGTGGACTTGCTGCGGGACCGATCGTGTCACTGCGATTCACTTGCACTTTGATTTGACTAAAATTTAGTTGCCATGTGTGCGTACCGTGCTTTCAGTTTTGGACCTCACTGTGCGGTTGAATAGGCCTTCTACACGGACCAGTGCGATGCCAAGTTCATCATGAAGCGGCGCAAAGAACTGAAGGAACAACGTGGATCCACAAGTAAGGCCGGCGAACATGCTTTTGGTTTTGCGGCTCATCAACGCATGCGATATGTCATGAGAAGTCCTGAGGTCTTGGGGGTTTCACATTTGGCCTACCAGGGGTCAACCAGGACCTGACCAGTAAAATTGTATTGTCTGATTGTTTGGGTCAGGGGACCTACCCGAACAAGGTTGTTTTCTACCGGGGGCCCTGCAACGTTTCATACTAGCCATGTGCACGCCCAACCAGCCGTGCCTGCAGGTCTTCAGCTTTGTTGATCTCCGGCGAGGTCAAGTGACTGAAGCGGAGGCCTGGCAGCGTGCTGCTGGAGTCAATTAGCCAAAGTAGTGTGTTAAATCGATCAGGATGTATAGCAACAGCGTCTTGTGAACTCATCGAAACAATAAATACATTGCGCGCGCGCTCGCGCCAGGTGGAGCGGGATGTGAACTATCATTTTGCCCTGGCCTACCTGGCCTCATTTTGCGGGGACTTGCCTCCACAGTTGGAGGTGCAGGATGGGGCACGCACGCAGTCAGCGTGCAAGAGTGCATCAAATGTTGATGGGCGCTTAACTAGCTTGATTTGCCGAGCCCGCCAGCTAGCTCATATGATTGCTGCACCCAGGACACTTTACGCTGGGCTTCTATGGAATTCTCGCTGAACCCTCATTTTTCTAGCAAGCAGCAGCACGAGGCTCGTGCCATCTTGTGCTAAGACGCGCCAGTTTATTGTCACTTGTCGCTTGATGGAGTTTGAGCGTTGCATGTTTGCCACTCCCTGCCAGAGCTGGGCGGAAGTGGAAGCTGGGCTCCACAGAAGCCTGGCATCATACGTTTGCAACCGGTTTCAGCGAACGTCAAGAGTGAGGCGGGGTGTGTCCTTGTGACCAATCTTCTTTTTTAAAAAATGGCTTGGCCGGAAATATGTTGAATTGAGGGCCTGAACACGCGTGTGTAGTTGTAACATTGCCGCCGCAGGAGCGGACACTCGAAAATGGACACCTTGAAGTCCGTGGTGAAGTGGAAGTTGGAGGCGAGTGGGCGTTGTGCAGCTAGCATGCGCGCACCGTGGCTCAAACGAAGCGCGCGTGGTGGTTGGCGCCCTTGTTTGCAAATCGCTCGGCTGATGTGAGTCAGAAACAGCGCTTGCAGTTTTTTGGCGCAAGCATGTTGACCCATTTCCTGCCTTTGCAAGGGGCGACGTCAGATTGCTAATATGTACATGGCCCGATTGATGCGAGCGTGAAACGGTGTTTCTGTTTGCTGCCAACCGGGATCCATGCCAGGAACCAAACGCTCACTGGTGCGGCGCATTATTCGGTCCTTTGTGGTCCATGAGCTGATCGGTCATGGTTAACCGTATAAATGTGCTGCAGCCTAAGCGAGTCACTTGTCGAACGTTTGCATTCAAATGTTAGCGTGTTCTTAACGCGCAACCAATGCACGGAACAGAGCAGTCGGTGCGAAGCGAGCCAAACATTTTTTAGGGCGCTGATGCTAGATCTTTGTTTCCACGCAGCTGCGGAATTCCCCCTTTCCCCCTTCCCGTGCCCTTGCTAGTAAGTCACCCGCCCATTTTGTCAATCCAGGGAGAAAACGCGGTTAGCTTACATGTGGCAGGGTTTTCCCCAAGCACTTCCCAATGTGACTGATGCCAGGAGCATGGCCTGCTCAATGAGAAAGGCAAAAAGATTCCGACAAAGGGGAGATCGACGGCGCCGAAGAAAGCTGCTGGTGAGGCCATTGACTCATGCATATCAGTTTGCCCCCTCTGTCTAGAACATTCAGGGCCACCCGGAGAAACCTGAGGTTTTCTGTCAAAAAGAACCGCTATGCAATGTCTAGTGTGCCGTACTTGTTGACATGTGAAGCTGCCAAGTTGATGGGCGTCATATTTCTACACAGTGCAATTGTCACCTTTTCCAGTCCAGCCTGCAAGGCCGACCAAGGGGAAGGGAGCAACGTTCAGTCCAGCAGCACGCTCAACAGAGGAAAGTCCACAACTGGCCTGGAGGAAGACACACAAATGACCGAGGCAACGCAAAGGGAGGACACAGAGGACCAGATCATGGCAGAACAGCCCTCGCCTAGCAGCGAGGCTGGCGAGGCAGGCGAGGCAGCCGAGGAAGAAGGGCCCACCGACGATGAGGTTGTTGAGCCAGTCCTCTCACATGAGGAGTT